TCTGTCACCTTACCACTCTTCTTCCTGAAGCATCACTCTTCGCTGAGAGAAAAGACGCCTCGTATTTGGATGTTTCCAGGACCTTGCTTTACTACCTCAACAGGACTAAGCCATTCAAGCTCTCTCCCCCTGCCTCTCTGTAGCCATATCAGCTTGTCAGAAGGTCAAGCCATCTTGTTTGAGAGACTTTCATAGTGGGTCATACAGTGTATTTCCACCGGCTGTCAGCTGGCTGGTGAGCCTCTCCCACTGAGAGGGTACAGACAGCATCTTCTGCCTGCTTCAGAAATGTGCCAGTCTCTGAGATCTGCAAGAAAGTCATGAGAAGCAACCCACTCACTTTTGTTAAACATTTTGCCTTTGATATGGTAGCCTGGTTGGATGCCAGATTCAGGAGTACAGTACCGCAATCAGTTTGACTGACACTGCTGAAAATCTTCATTCCTGCTGATCACAGAGGACGCTACTTGCCCATCATCTAGAGCGGGATCCTCACTGACACATGCTCAAAGAAAGAATAGTTACCTACCCTACAGTAACTCTGGTTCTTTGAGATGATGTAGTCAGTGTGAATTCCACAACCTGTCCTCTGTTCCTGCTTTTGGAATCTTCAGCAACACAGGTTTTGAATTGCAAGGGAACTGAGGGAGGGGTGCAGCCATCCCCCCCCTTCATGCCCTCATATTGGAGCACCAGGAGGCACAGAGCACATGCCTGGCACCAATGGACACTACTAGTCAAGAAAGTCCAGTCTCGTATGCATGAGACATATGTCCACCTACAGTTGATCCACGCTGGCTATAACATCTTGAAGAGCTACAGTTACTGTAGGGTAAGTAACTGTTCTTTATAGTCTGTGAGTCCCTGATTAAACAATTATAATACAATGTAATCTTTTGCCCCATCACTTCTGCTTTTTCTTCTCCCTCTCCCTGAATAAAGTTTTGATTGTGTGAATTATGTAATTCCATATTTTTATTAAGAACTTCTGTATGGCATACTGTAAATGTAAATGTGTGTGCATAAGCAGGGACAAGACAGAGACAGGCTTGAAAATAGTTGACCTAGATTCTGTTTTTTGTAGGATGTATGGACTTGTGTTCTTTTGTGTGTATAAAACATCTTTACTGCTTATTACTTAAATATTTTTGGTTTTGCATTAGCAATGTAGCAATTTTGAGATAATTTTAATCACATGTATTGTAACAGTGGTGTTTTTAATAAAATTTAAAATTTAAAATTTTTGACTCCCAAAAGTATAGGACTGTAATAGGGTTGGTTGGAACAAGAAATAATTATTTGTTTAATTTCTCTCCTAAATAATTTCATACTGGGAATTTTTTTCATTGAAATGGTGCTTTTGAAGATGATAAAATTGTTAAAATGCAAAGTGTGCAAGCAGCTGAATTCTAATTGTCTGTATTGAGTGAACATTGAAAGCACAAACCAGAACTAGGACATTTAGAATTTCTAGTGAATGGTACACAAGATGCCTCTTTTACATGGATCTTAAACAAACTAGGAAATTATGTAGGCTCATAAAAATGTATAATAAAAAGATCCCAATGCACATAACAACAAAACTGTAGTTAGTTAAATATGTGTGTTTGATAACCATTTCTTTGCAGAGATGTTAGTCAGTGGGAGGCCAGTGATGGCCTACAGGCTTGTTGGACATTTATTGAAGAATCCTGGTTTAAATCAATAGTAACATCTTTGATCACCTGGTGAAAATACAGAAGTTACTTAATGAAGCTTGTATTTCTTGTCTGCAGGCTTTGCCAACAAAGTACTTCTAAATGATACTGTTTATTACATCCTGGATGACAAGTATATTGAGAACAGCAAAAGTCATTGTAGGGGATCATTTTAATGCTATAATTTCTTCTCCCACCATTCCTAAAAGTCTTTGAGTAATAGTGTTTTATATTATTATTAAAAATAATAGCACTTAGTAAGCTAATGTTGTATCAGAGCTTCTCTACTATTAAACCCAGTTTTTGTAGGTTTACAGTATAACCATAAAATTTTACTCTGGGCTGGAATTTGAGATATAAGCTTAGCCTCTGCTAAAGAACAATATTTAAAACATTTTTAAAAATATATAATTATACTCCTATTCAGAACTAAATTTTGGGAAAGAGTCCACAAGCCTGAGTAAACTGGCTATGCAGGCACACAGACTTGCTCAAAAGACATTAGAATCAGAATCCTCAGCTCCAACTTTCTAATTGTCTGTGTTTACATGGACAGGGGCTCTTCTGTAGTGTATGGTGGAGTACCGGACATGGCCTGTTGTTTCTCACATATATAGGTTATGGGCTAGTAGAACTGTGTAGTGCATGGACCTACTGGCTATATCCATTCATTTCCTTTGATCCATTCACCAATCTACCCTTCTGTGGTCCTGAAGAGAAAGCCACAATGGAGCTTGGTTGTGCAGTGTTTAGGAGTTCGCGGAGTCTTCCTATGCGCCTTATGGCTTGGCTCCACTGTGCAGCAGAACTGTCACATTGCCACAGCATGTGGTGTCTAATACATCCATCTACAGGGCCCAAAGATTTTCACCCATGTTATGAATTACTTTTACAAATCCATAATTGAAATTTGCAGGGATAAAGTTCGTTTACTTGTGTGTATATATAGGTAAGGTTATGATAAAATAGTAATAAATCTTGTCTAACAATGGCTTATAATTATGGCTTATGATGTTAAAGAAAAATACGAAGATATTTAAACACTTACTGCACATTAACTGTAATCACTATTTTAAAAGAGTCACTATGCTATGCATGATTTTAAAGATGATCTGAATACTGTAAAGGCTTCAATATTTTTAATATAATCTGTGCAGTTCATTGTGTTCTATGCTTTTACATCTTTTTTAAAATTACTATTGAAGGAAATGAACACACAAGAACTACATGTGAATAATATTAAGGTTGTGATGTGAATCTGATCGAATAGATGCCTTTAAAGTTAAGATTGACATTTGGGCCTTGGGTTTGATATTTTAATAAGGATAGAAGATTGCTGTGTATACGTATAGTCTATATTTTTACTTTATTTTTTTTAATGTATCCTTATTTGCTTTTGTTTCTTCAGATGAGAGCCAGAAAACTCTAATGTGGTGCTTATGTTGTCTGTACAGCAATGAACCACAGAACCCTGTGGAATTGAAGGCTAACAGCTGGATACTGGTAAGTGAATGAATCCTCCCCTTGACTGCTTTGAATTACATTGATTATTTAAAGGTGCTACATCTATAGCATAGAGACAGTGTGTAATTTCAGAAACCACTCCAAAGACAACCTACATACATGTTGTGTTGAAATATGTTCCACTCTAATTATAACATAATCTGTGCTAGCCTGTCATTTTGAATGTTAAAAAGATGCGGTGCTCAAATTAGGGTAGTTTTAATGGCCTTTATACAGTGGAGCCCTAAATCTAGTAATTGCAAATCAGGAACAAAGACCAGAAATCAGAAAGGAAGAAAGTGCTATAAAAGAGAACCTTTCAATTAGGGTAGAATAAAATAATCTGGAGACGTGCCATTGTTTTGAAAACAATTTATATTTGCTCTGTAATTTAGGTCTTTTCTGTTGCTGTGTTTTTGTTTAATCTCTCTTGCCTATGGAGAAGCTAATTGTATCCAAACTTTCTTTAGAGACAGTTTGTGAAAGAAAATACTTGTGTGCATATTTATATTTAATGAGCTGTAAGAAATAATGAATACTTAAACCACTTTAATGCCCCATTCAGGGTTAATGTAGGCACATCTGTTGTTCACATTTTATGCACGTACTCCCTGAGCCAAAAAAGCACAACCTTAAGCACGAGTGCTTAAAGTTAGGCATGTGCTTAAGCAATTTGCTAAATTGGGGACTTAAAGCACATCTAGTTAGATTAGTGTAATTTCATTGGACTGACTTTCACCCAAAACAAGAGATGATAAAAAAATTGATGGAATGGTTAAGAGTCTCAGATATGTAGGCCTTCAGGATAATAAGTAATTGAGCTGACATAATCTATTACAGAGGTGGGCAAACTATGGCCCATGGGCCTCATCTGGCCCGTGGGACTGTCCTGTCCGGCCCCTGAGCTCCTGGCCGGAGAGCCCCCGGCCCCTCCCCCGGAGCCACACCGCCATGCGCTCCTGCAGGGCAGCACAGCAGTGTGTCTGGCTCCGGCTGGGCGGCGCGGCTGCCAGACTTGCCACTCTGAGCGGCATGGTAAGGGGGCCGGGGGATTGGATAAGGGGCAAGGGGTAGTCAGGGGACAGGGAGCAGGGGGCACTTGGATGGGGCGGAGGTTCTGGGGGGGGCGGCGGCGGTCAGGGAACGGGGAACAGGGGGGGTTGGATAGGTCTGGGAGTCCCGGGGTGCCTGTCGGGGGTGGGGGTGTGGATAGGGGTTGGGACAGGGAGCAGGGGGGATTGGATAGGGGGTGGGGTCCTGGGGGGGTGGTTTGGGTCGAGGGGTCTTGGGAGGGGGTGGTCAGGGGACAAGGAAGTGGGAGGGGGATGGATAGGGGGCGGGCGGCCAGGTTGTTTTGGGAGGCACAACCTTCCCTACCTGGCCCTCCATACAGTTTTGCAACCCCGAAGTGGCCCTTGGGCCAAAAAGTTTGCCCACCCCTGATCTATTAGCTGAAATCTTTGCTAATGTTGCAGAATTTTTGAGGTTTATCAAAGCAGTTCATTTGTTGATTATATATTTCAATTCATATGTATCCATCTCTAGCTTCTACAGTAAAAAATTACTAATCTTAAAAAAATAAGGGCCTGATACTGCAAATATGTATGCAGGTGAATAACTTCCTACATCAGTAAGGTCACTCATATGCATACACATTTGCTGGAATTGAGGTGAAATCATTAACTCCTTAGTAATTCAGGGTCTAGCCCCCTTCTTATCCCACTCCTTTCTTGAGAGCCTGAAAAAACTGATAGGCCTCAGAACTTGTCCTGAAGGTCAATATGCTTGGGATTCACTGTGCTGTAGAGTTACTATGGACTTATTTTTTTAAATGTGCTTGTGTCCTTCTTTGCGTCTTTATGATGTGTAAAGAATGTACATTTTTTTTTAATATGTGGAGTGAGGTGGAAAGCGAGCTTTATTCGTACATTTTACCTTAAATATATCTGATTATTAAGTCTCATCTTTCCTGATCCTTTTTCCCAAATGCTAATTAGATATTCAAGTTAAAGAGCTGTTAACAAAAGACACAAAAAACTGCCTAAAGTATTTGAAAACAGTCTGAGTAAAAATCCTTTCTCTTCTTATTTTACCTTTCACTCTCTCGACTCTTGGGATGTCGTCATTTCACAAGTTCACCAGTCATTACAGAGTCTTCCTGGTAACATGAGACCTGAGTTTCTAATGTAAAAAACAAGCAGGAATTAATTTTTTTCAGGCCTTCTTTGTACACCTTAAAACCCCAAAAGGTCACAAGTCTATTCTGCAGGCCATCTTTAATAAATATTCACTGTTGCCTGAAGTTAATAAACAATCTACGAAATAGACGGAGGAATAAAACAACTTACCTTGATTTAGCTACCTGTGTGACAGTAGTGTAGACTGATTCGTCAAATGCAAATCAGATGCAGTTACCTTACTAAGCAATTGTATTAGTACAGAGCAGCTTCTCTTTTAAAACAATGAAAAGAGAAAAAATAGTGGCTAAATAAAGAAAGAAAATGTATTTTAACCACACAAACTGAATGTACATAGAAATGACAATGTATCAATGCCAGTGTGCATTTTTTCTGCTGTTTTGGTTGCCTGTGCAAAAGATATTAGTTTATTTTTTTGTGACAAAAAGAAACAAATCTGTTCTCTGTGTGTAAATGGATTGTGATGGGGAAAAAATCAGTGTGTATTCATTCTGTATCCTCTTTACTCTCACAGTTTCTAAGGGCTAAATCTTGACCAAGACACCACAACAAAATGATGCAGAGATTCTGTCATTGTAGAAGTCCTCCTGTTGATTTGGGCAAGATTCTCCATAATGAGCTATGGAGGCATGCTATGGCATGCACTTAACTGCTGATCTGACCAGGAGCAAAATTCATGCTGCTTCATAGCACTTGTTATAGATTGTAACATACTTATTAGCCAGCTAAGGGAAGGCTAGAAATAGACTTTTATCTACCATATCCACTTGCATACGTTGTTTTTAGATGAGTGTACACACCTGACAGCATCCTGCCTATTCTTTGAGTACTTTCTTGAGGCCTGATTCAAAGCCCATTGAAGTTTGGATCAGGTCCATAGTGCTATTGTAAAATCCTGTGCTGTTACTTCCACCTGCCATTAACCTTACTGCAGCACAGAGGAGAATTTGCTTTATGTGTAGCTTCAAGTCATTAATTTTATTTTCAACCCTAGCAAGTTGTCAGGAATCAAGTAAAATCAGCCAAAGGTGACTTTATAGCTAGGAGATTAGTTGTGATGTATTATTTGGTCTTATTTCTTTATTTGCACAGTGCCATTTGTGTTCATAGTTTTTTAAAGACAATTAAAAATTAACATTCTCTGCTCTGGGAGGTTTGCAGTCTATGCTCCTGATCCGAGGCCCACTGTAACACATGGGACTTTTCCATTGACTTTAACGGGCTTTGGATCAGACCCTAAATTAGACATAACATAGCAAGGGCTGATCACAAAAGGGTAATGAAGTGGGTGTGGGAGGATGGAAGGCATGAATTTGACTGGTGGTGAGATATTCTAATTGTTACATATTCATCTTGTAAGTTAATTAAAATTTATAAAAGATTTAAAATTTAATATCGTAGAATTTGGGGATGGTGAGAGGAAGATAAATGGAAATAAATGATTTTGGGGGTGGGATTAGTGAGTAAGGTTGCATAGTGCACAGACTCAGACAAAAATTTGAGATTAAAAGATACTTTACAAGTCTTACTACTGATGCTTGAAAAGATACGGTCGAAGTATTTCCCCCAGTGATTAAATTCTCTTTCTCTCACTGTTTCTTTACTGTGCACCTTACTTTCATCTTAAAATGTTCTAAACTGTTTTTCCTAAAGGTACCTAGTTAAGGTAAATTGTTTTATTCCACCATCGTCCTTTGTAGATGGTGGTATAATTTCAATCAATGTGATTAGGACCATATAACTCCCCATTTGGAAACTTGAACCAGAAGTTAGTTAGTTTGCCATTTTCACACTCAATTGCATGTGAAAACCAATTTGTCACTGTAGGTTTGCTTGTGAAAGCTGGCATATTTTTATTTTTTAAATTGTTTTTTATTAAAACATTTTTAAAATAAAGAATTCTGAAGCAGTTGGGTTTTTTGGACACGTGAACCCACATATAGTGCATTAGAAGTTGTTTCCTATAGCAATGGTAACTTGGCCACATTGAGACTATATACTAATAGGATACAGAACTATATAAACATACATACAGTATGTAATAAAAGACTGAAATATATTTGCTATGGGAACTGTAATTTTGAACTTTGTCTCATGGGTTTTTTCTGCTTGTTTGTTTTTTTGCGCTGAGTAGCAAAAAGTGTAAATTGCTTCTTGGAAAACATATAATATAATATAATATCAGTAAAATGTCAAAACCAAATTGTATCTATGCTGAAATTCTTAGTGACTCAAATCAGAAGCTGGAAACCACTACCCTTTTAATTTTAGGCACTCACCAGCACAGACTGACTTCTTTGAAAGTGTATCAAAGCATGCTGATAAAGATGAGGGAATGGATAATTTTACCTATATATATATCTTGTTTGCTGTGTGATACACTATGAGTGGGGGAGCTGAGAGCCTTGGTGACTGCCCAGCTGGGAGAGGGGAGCCAGGAACTGGGGCGCAGAGCGAGGAGTCTGGTGGGTGCAACCCGGCTGGGTGTAGGGTGACCAGACGTCCCGATAAAATCTTGTCCTGATATCCGCTGGCAGCGCTTTTGTTTTGTTTTGCTCCGCTGGCAGGGGGGGCCGCGTCTTTTTTTTTTTTTTTTTTTTTTTGCAACCCCCCCCCCCCCCATGTGTCCCGAATTTTTCTTTCCCTCATCTGGTCACCCTAGCTGGATGCTTGGGGGGGCAGCTGGCTTCTAGCTGGAGCTCCCCATTCACCCAGCTTTCTTGTCAATTTCATGGCTCTAGCATGGAGCTTTGAAATTGACAAGAATGACAATCAACAGCCAATGTAAGTAACTCCTAATGT